TGAATGTTGAAATCTGTGGTTCTTCTTTTTTAATGGCTGAGGTTTTTTTTTTTTCTTGATCTTCTGAAACATCCTCTGCAGACAAAATAAGTGAAGGAACCAGCCACCATATCATCTTTATGGCTGCATCTGAAGATCCTCCTAAAGTGTGAACATAAGTTTTCTGCTCTTTCCTCCCTGCTGTGTTGATTTCTATTGCTGCCTTTTTCTTCTCACCTGTCTTCAATCTTCCTCATTTTACTTGCCATCTATTAAGAGCCTGACTTAGCAAAGCAGCTGGTGTAACATAGCCAGGGCCAAATTGGCACATGAAAAGCAATACTATGTTCACTGATTTTTTTAAAGAACTTAACTGCAGAAAAGTTAAAAAGTGATATTTTTTCTTTTCCTTTTCTTTTTATTTTCTTTGTGCATTTGTTTATAGTATGCAAGTATTAATATACTTTGTCTTATCCCAAAAGAAACTGCTTAAGCCAGACCTAAGAACTTGAAGGAAATGCCTGACATTATTTTTTTTGCTCTCTCCCAATTAAATTTTCTAGAGAATTTAAAAATAATAGTTTTTGTTTTGTTTCTCCTCATTAATAAAGCTTTATAATTAAAAAAAATTGTAAGGCAGTTCTTTAAAACAAAATATTTTTTTCGGTTGTGAGTAGTTTCGATGTGGGTATTTTCTGTTATGTCCTATTTCACTCTTTGTGTAATTGATATTAAGAGAAAATTCTTTCTTCATTGTATGCAATTATTTTAAGAATATCCTGTAGCAGAAAACCAAACTGAAATTATAGTCAACAACATGGGGAGGGAAAAGAGGTCAAATATATTTAAATCAATGTAAGTCATCAAGGCAGAACTATACACTCTAGGAGCTTTTATTCTCTAGCAGCATGGAAAATTTTCTCAATTTTTGACATCCCTAGCAACAAGTATAGCAGCCTTCAGAAAAGAGTTCTTTTCCAGCAACCTCATCCAGCATATGATATCAACAATTTTGCCAAAAGCTGGTGGCTCTGAATAGAAGAGTCAAGTGAAAACAAAGAGAAACAACTAATCTGCCATCCTAGGAAATTGAGATGAAATTAATTGATTAGACTTATAGGTCTCCTTCATTAAGATCTGTGATCTATGTGAGGTAAAAAACAAACTAAATAAAAAGGACATTCTTTTTAAAGCAACAGAATGAAATTAATTTTTATAATAATTTAGTTACTGAGTAGATCCTAAAATCCTTAAGACTACTACATTGAAGTTCTATGCTCCATTTCATTTTATGTAGCAGGTTTATCTGGAGGCTTTAAAAATTATATTTTATCAGGAACACTTATTCTCACATTTCTTTCTCCCAGAAATATTCAAATCTTGATTTCACAGAATGCTTTTAAAGACCTTAAAATTACATTCTTTCACTACTGAAGTAATAATGGTCCTTATGAACAGCTCCTAACCTAAATGAAGTCAAAGAACACAAACTGCCTGGGAAGTGTGTTTGTGTAAGTTTCCCATCTATAATGTCAGTTTGACTACCAAGGAAAGGTGGCACCTAGGCTCTGAAAGAAATGTTGTTCTGAGGAAGAGACCATGCCTTTTGTCACAACCAGAGTAAGGTCCTTCAGACTTTGAAATGCTGATTTCTGATGTTATGTGCTTAGACAAAGCAGGGTAGGTTGAAACATGCACATTTTTATGAAGAAGTTGGAGAAATAAATCGTTTTGATTATATTTTTTGGCAATGTTTGTACAACACAATTCTGACACTTGACAGTAGCCTCCAGATAAACCTGCTACATAAAATGACAGCAGTAACCATTAGGAAAAGTGGCAGCAGGCACTTCGAGGTTTTTCCACCCTATACTCAGGAAAATGCTCTCTATTCCGTCATTCATGTTATGCACAAAAACATTGGTGTTCATCAGCATTGACTCTTAGTCATAAAGCAGGTGGAGGATGGAGACATTCCTGAGATATGGAAGTTGCTACTGTCATCCTGGTTTTCTTGCCATGCCTTTTTCTTGCCATAAAGATGTATTTTTCTTGGATTTTTTTCCCCCCTCCTGTTCAAATAGGCAGTAAAACAGCTATTTAAACCTTATGATCATGTACTCACTGCTTGGGTTATCTTATAACAACAATTTTTTTAAAAGCGTGCCTTGAGGATGACATTAACTAGACTCTCCAAAACATTAAGTTGTCTCTCTTAGTGGTTTTATTGTCAAATAAGAGAGATTAGACCCAGATGCTCTGTGTTCCTTTTCGTTCTTCATCCTGGTTGCTCTCTGTTGGAGGCAGAGATCGTAATATTTTGGTGTGGTTCAGTAAGCCTTTTATAATACTTGTAGTTTTTATGATTAAGGTAATTCTCTACTTTTACTTAAGAAAGAAATCCAACCAAACTAATCCACGCAGAAATATACTCAACCACTCCCACTCTCTCAAACCTTAGAACTAAATTTGAGTCAAGTAGTTTCAGTGAACCAGTCAATTGCAAGTTTCTGCTATTTACTACCTGGAGAGTATGAGGATGGTATGTCATGAAAATCCTGACTTATAGAGGGAGGTATAGCCAACTATCATTGTGTTTGACAACTCCTCATTGCACAGCAGGTGTGTTTCATGTGTTTTATCTGTGGATAGTGGGGCTTAATGTGAAATCAAGATATGCCAAAAAAGGGTGCCGGTGAGTAAATTAAATCAAGCTGACTAATGAAATAATACCTAGAGATCCCCTTACACTGATCAGAATTAACTACTTGTTTTATGTCAAACTTTCTTTTTACAAAGGAAGTAGAAGAAAAAATGGCTGGCACCGAGAAAAATTGAAGAGTTGAGACAGAGTTTATGACAAAAGGAAGATGTGAGTCTGTTGAGAAGGAAGCAAAAAAGCTTAACTACATGACTAGAACCCATATGGAATTAGCCCAGCTAATGGTCAAGTTCTATGTAAAAGAGAGAGTAGAAGCAAAATCAGAGAGCAAAAATATTGCTTAGATGATCAAAAGTTGTACTTTTATACAGGAAGTGATTAAAATGAAGAAAGCAGAGAGGCTTAGAATGGAGGTGATAATTACAAGAGGTTGTTCATTTTTCCCATTAACTTACATACCAGCACTGTCCTGATTTGCAAGTTTATGAATTTCTAGACTTTAAACCTGGATTCTTCATAGTCAATTTGCTCCCATTTCATCTAGAAGCCATTAGTAGACTACACAGGTAGAAGTGCTTTGTGGTTATTATATGATACTGCTTTCATATGTCTGTAAAGGATGCAGCTTTTCTTTATTTTTGGTTCCTGACATCACTGAGTTACAGTTATAATACAGAGGTGAATTTATCTAAATAATGAAAGGCTGAATTCCTGCTGACAGTGAAATTAGTATTAATTTATTTTATCTGAAGAAGCTATTATAGGTTTCCCAGGTGAAAGCAAATAAACAATTCTTTGAATTTGTTTTCACCCTGTTGTACCACAAAACAATGCGGCCCTGTATAACACTTTTATGTGAGATTCAGAGGGGGTGGTGTTGTAAAAGAGCTACTTAATCTGCACTAAAATTGTTGGAAGGAATATTATATATTCATAATGATGTATTATGTGTTCAATAGGTCAGATTAATAGTTTTGGCAGTGGGGGGAAGAGAGGAAGAAAATAAAACAAGTTTACATATTTTACTATTTATTCTATAAAAATACTGCAGTTTATTTCAGCATTCATCCTTTTCTAAAGCTGTTAAAACCTTCAAGTGGCTGCCTGGAGTTATCAGTCCTGGATCATTCACTGCACTAAAAATATTAAATTTGAGGAGAAACAAAAAAACCTAGCTAAACACATCAATAAAACCCAACCAGTATTTCTTTTGAATTTTGGTTCTGGTTACCAAACAAATCAATAGTTGATAGTCCCGATTGTGTGTACTGTTAAGGAGGTGAGGAAGGGATGTTAGGTAAATCTCTTCAGGTTCTCCTGTCTTGTCTAGAAAAAGAGTACTTTCACTAATTTAAAATGCGAGCACAAGCTTGATGAGTTGATCTACTAAAAGGAATGTACAGATGTCTGGAGAAACTTGTGTTTAAGAAAATGGAAGAAATGTCTTAACTCTTTTGACCTCAGTATTTTGCTGATGACCTGAACCCACCCAGTTCACAGAACCAGATTTTGCATGTGTGCATGTATTCATGTGTGTGTGTGTATAAAAACCTCATCCAACACATTGTTTCATCTACACTTGTAGGGCTGATTCCTAGATTTAAAATATTCAAAACCTAAACAATACTTAAAGATCTCATGAAGCTCCTTGGAGCTGCTACTGACAGGAAATACCATCTAAAAATTTCTAACTTCTAGTGGAGATCAATAGGAAAAAAGAACTGAATTTTTCTCAACAGGCAGAAAACAATTTAAATATAAAAATTTCAACATAGCTACAGGATTATGTGAAGTTCTTCTTTGTACAAATTCTGTCCAAAACTAGATCAGTTGAATCGAAATACCAAATACTTTCACAAGGATGCAGTAATGAATACTGAAGACAAATAATCAACTGGATGTTTTTGGTGTTGTGGGATTTTTTACAAAACTACCATTTTATCCTACTAAATGTTTTACTTTGTACTATGCAATGGAAGTATGAAGTATTTTGTTGTTTCTTCCTTCAATTTTCCACCTTTTCCTCTCCACTGTTTAATCTTTTTATATTTCCTTTTTTTTTTCTTACATTTCTCTCTTTTTTATTATTTATTCATTTCTATAGTGGTATTTCCCTTATTTTTTTTCAGTTCTAGGAGGATAGATTCCTTTACTTGTTCTTAAGATACAGTAAGATTTTATAATTTTTTTTAAAGAGAGACGAGTAAACCGATTTTTCAACAAAACCACAAATTGTAAACTTATTTAATTTTCTCTATATTTCCAACATCCTATGCAAGAAGGCAATAACAACCTTTATGAAAAGTCAAAAGGTATTTACTTACTCGAGAGATTTCCGTATCTGTCTGTAAATTAAATATAAATATATGCTGCAAACAAAGAAATAAAGAATAAATGTAAGTTGTGCATAAATTGTACAGGGTCCTATGCCTATTCCATGATTTAATCTATGCACTAAATCTGTTTTGATCAAGCAGTATGGAATTAAAAAAGGGAAGGGGTAAGAAGAGATTTCAGAAACTTGTAATAAACACACAATGATCAAAATTTTCAAATTCACCCTGATATAATGTATTTCTCTTTTTATTATAATTACCCTTAACATTTTCTAGCCACCAAAGACTCACAGTGACAGAAAGAGAACCCGTACACAGTATCTCTTGCGGCTTTATAAAGTAACACTGCAACTTACTGTGAAAGAATGGTAGCTTATTACTAAAATCTAGGTTTGCTCCAGTATGCTTGTATAAGGCAATCAGTAAATTAGTGGGAAATGTTTGAAACAAAAACCAAAACCTAACAAACAAACAAAGTAAAGAAAAGGATACTCACAATTTGAACTGAATCTGGAAAAACCCTTTTGAGCTCTTTGGATTTAGAAAATATTTTTCTATCATAAAAGAAAAAAAGAAGAAATAAATTGTAATGATCCTCAAAATATTTTTTTTTTTTGTTGTTAAATGTTTTAAGGTTAGTATGAAATCTACAGTTAGGAAATCATTAACCACAGTCTAGAAGGGAAAAATACAAATACTCCCATCTTAGTTTTTAAGAGATTTACTTTCATGTGAGTTCATTTTCTTCCCAGAAGGAAAAATATTTCACTTTCATTCTATTTTTCCAGAGTTTTACACTGTATTCAGAGTATAAATGCATCAATAAATTCAAATTTTGTAATGTGATGAAAATGTACTTACACAAGAAACCTTTTAACAGATGCTATTTTCTCAGGCACATGTGATTGACACCTACAGAGGGGCATGTGGATGCCAGTACCTTTCAGGCACTGAGTAGTAGATTTCCTGTTTGCTTGCATTGAAGGACAAAAAACTGTGTGCTCTGCTTGCTTTCTTTTACAAGAGTAGCCACAGAAAACAGCTTTTCTCTTGCTTTTATCACAGTGAGCTGCCAGACTCCAGTCACTACAGGAGCTATGCCATCCACCTGCTTAATTCAGGAATCATGCTGGTTATTGCAACCCAGGTCAGGGAACTGATAAACAGTTCAGACCATACATTATCTTCAGCTGACAAAATCTTTTACCCTTTGTGCCTATAAAGAAGAGTGCTGCAGTAAATACATTGGACACTGTGCATCAGACTTCACTTTATCTTGCTTTAACTGTCTAAAATCAGGTGACTAATCCATATCATCACCTGGTATTCCTCTAGGCACTTAAAGAAGGTGATTCACCCCATCCTACTATACATGTCCCAGATAGCAAGGATGAATTGTCAGCTGGAGTGCCTATCTCTCTCCAATGACAGTCATGGAAACCTGCCTAATTTTAGATGGCACTAATAAAGCACCTAATTTTAGATGGAAATAATATAGCAGGACAAATCCATTCCCCCAGCAGAAAATATTAGCATAGCCCTTTAAATGTAAACAGCATTTCCTAAAATTCTTGGACTCTTGATTTCAGACTAACCAATTTATTACATATGATAATATATGTTCTGTCAATTTTTAACAGATTTCCTGTACCTCTCACAAGTCACACAGTCTCATGCAGTCATTCAAAAGTAGCCAGTGTCATTGCGCTAGAAAACCTACTAATTTTAGCATAATTTAAGGACCTTTGTTGAGGCCAAACAAATTTAAGCTTACAAAAATGTGAAAGGAGAAACTTAGAATAATACTATGGAACCCACCTGTCTTAGAAATATGACTTTAAAATGTGAATGACAGGAACATAATTATACTGCTGAAACTAATCTCCCGTTTGCATACTTGATTATTTCAATTAAAATAGGTACCCAGTCAATTAGTAAACAAGTTATCTTAATATGAATAATAATAAATAAGTTATCTTAATATGAATAATAATAAATAAGTTATCTTAATATTAAGCCATACCAACAAAACTTAAGCTGCTCAAATAGAGTTAAAAGTCTTGAAGACCTTGAAGACTTCAGCCTAAATTATTCTGTATATTCCTGAAAGACAAAAAGATGACTGTATAATATGCTAAAAAATTAAGAAACCACAGTAAAGGAGTGAGAAATACCAAAAGATGATGTGTCCATTGACAAGATGGAATCAGAATATGTCAATCAAATGTATTGCCAGAATATTAGCTAATTAATCGTGGTATAAAAAACTTAAAACAGTGACTGAAAGAAATTGGTTATTGACAGAGTTGAAGGTTTATCTTTGTACTAAAGAGAATCTTAGGATAATTTATCATTATCAGGGCACAAAAATCACACATTCCATATAAACCCTTTCTTTTAGCAGTGTAGTTCTGCCATTCTGAGACAACATATTGACTTAATGTTTGTTCTTCAGAATGGTAAAATAATATAAGTTTAAATTTAATTTAATACGTTTTCATGCAAATGATTTTACATTACATTGAGGTTTTCCATCATACAACATTTTAGAATGCTGGTCACTCAACTTGTATTATATTAATTCCCTATCATTTCAGAGAAAAAACATGCACAATGGTATTTTGATATATTTTAGCTTTTCTGATTTTCTTTCTGTTAAGCTTTAATTTTTCATAGTTTCCCACTTTTCTTGTCCTTACTTTTCTATTTTCTATCACAAATCTAGCTGTAAGTTTATTAAAATGGATTTAAATTTATTTCTTTTCTACATAGAAAAGAAGAGAAATTGATGTGACAATTATGTTATTTTCTCAGCTAACTACTTGATGTCATACAGATATTTTAGCAATAGATCTGATTTAATAATTTAGCCAAACAAAATGTCTATCTAGACTTCTACAGGTTAAGGTCAATTAGAATGCCTAGTTAATTTATTAGGTAATAACCAACTATTCTCTTTTTTTGTTATTTTATCTTATTCATAAACACAACACCTACACTTTCTTGAAAAAAAAAAGAAAGATTACATTTCTGTAATCACATGTATGTACCGTAATGTTGCACAAACCTCTTAGAACACCAAGACTGAAAATTATCTTTTGCTACCATGTAAGAATAAAGTCCTTTTGATTCACATTTTCTGTTATAACACCATAAAATTGTTGATTATGAAGCTTGAGGAATGACAAAGCACACAATGCCAGTATTTAAAATTCTTTGACAGTAAAATATAGATACAATGTCACCTTTAGAACCATTCACAATGTGATGTTTAAAATATTTTTTTCTTAAATCCAGACTTTGAGAATGTATAAAATTATTTTTGTTAGTCTTTTGGGGAAATAATTTTCTTTTGCTATTACGCTAATGAATTATTTTATGTATGTTTGAATAGGGCTATAAAGGAATTAGTTTGGAGCTGACAAAGCTGTCTCTTCCCTGTTAACTGGGACAGATTCCAGCTCTTTAGTTACCCATTAGCCTAGACAAGTCTCTCCCCAAACATCCAGAATTAAGCTATAATCATACCTTCCTAGCCTGTGGCAACAATAAGTGTGACCTCACACGTATCCAATGTCATTATAGCTTATTCATCTTTTGTTTTAAAGAACAAGTCTGGAAAGCTCCACTGCCAGCTCTGAAGTCTGATAACATGAGAATTCCCGACCAATACTCATAGTGACATTTGATTCCAGCTCTATGTTTTGTATGGACCAGTTCCAGGCAGATATTATAAACTGGAGAATCATTCCAAGAGCCTAATGGCAAAAAGCTCACAAGTGCAAAGCTAGTTTCATTATAAAGAGTGAGACCATTCATTTAGCTGTTTCCTATCACTGATCATGTTAATTAGGAGAATTAGGCATGAAACAGCAATAAGCTAGAGATGTTGCCAATGCACTTTGTGTCTATGTAAGGGTATATATGAGTCTGAGCAGAATACTATTGAAGACGGTTATTGCAGCATTTTGCTGTACTTTCTCCTGGTTTAAAAGAGAGTCCTAGTTTGGGAAGAGACACACACACTTTTTCTACTGTTCTCTGTCACTCTCATCTCAGGTCCTAAAGAGTATCTTTTGTGGAATTTTACTTGATTAAATATGAAACCTTGAACACATTTTCTCTCTAAGAACTGTCTTAGCACCGGACTTAAGAGTGAATTTGGTTGTGGTCTTTGTACAGTCGATTATACACCACATAGACAGCAGTAATATAACACTGAACAAAGGGGAAGACATGGAGAATTCTGGACCATTGTTCTTGTGTACATGTAGATTGTAAGAGAAATGTAGGTTCTAATTACAACTCTTTGTTGCTGGTAAGTCAAGTGTTGGTAAGACTCTAGTGTACACCCCATGGACCCTATAGAGCCCTGGTCATTCAGTTTCGAAATTTCACTTCTGGGAGAAAAGTGTTGCCTAACAATTGAACTTTGCATTACTGCCTTTCAACAGTCTGAGTTCATAATGAGTCTGATCCTCAGCACAGGAAATGACAGCAACCTGGTTGTCATGTCTGCTGCTGAGCTGTAATGTAAATAAACACAGAAAGGCACAGGGTTACCCCTCAAATATGCTATTGTTTTTCTTTTCTCTACTCAGAACAAACCAGGAAGGAAGCTATTTCTTTGATGTTTAGGTGTCAGGTAATAACAACTTTTTGTTATATTTTGGTGTACTCTAACTCTTGTCTGCTATAGTCAATGAAAAGCAGCAGCAAAGGAAACAGGATCTAACTAGCACCACATAGCTGTCTGTCCAGTCTGGAGTAAATTCCAGTCTTTTAGATCAGAAGATTTCAAGCAGAAAGCCTTTTCTTCCTGCAAAGGCAAATTAGCAGAAAAGCAGGCCACCAGAGTGACCCTTTAGTACATCTATTAGCACCGTTCCTCACTACAATGGAGAATTTAGGTATCAAAAAGAAGCTTGAAATTAAAATGCACTGATATATTTTTGAAGATTTTAAATGCTCACAATTAGTCACCCTTTCTAAGAGAGTGAAGTCTGTCAGAACTCTATGCTTTCAAAACATTGTTTGGGATTTTGAGTTTAATTCCATGGCTTTAGTGACGAATGTGAGCAAAAGTGTATTTAAAGACAACCCTCTAGGTTCACAAAAAAAACAACAACCAACCAACCAAAAACAAACAAAAAAACCCCACTGATGAATACTTCCACATGGTTGCCAGGCCATAGCACTGACATTTTTAAAAGCTAGGGAATTCTGGCCCTTGCTCTCAGTACTGTGATGTAGCAGCTGCTTTCTTTTGATGAGACTGACTCATGGGCATTAGGACCTATTTTTGACTACTATTGTAGACTATCTCACTAAAAACACAACAAATTGTTAATTTCTTGAATCTGGTATCAAGTATTCACAAAAGCTTCTTGGCTACTTTAATTTTCTCTGTGCTTCAGGGTAAAATGAGAAAACTGATGGTGATATTTATAAAGTTTTTTGAGTCAAAAGGTTCAAAAGTGCTATGTATTAGTTCATTTTACTATTAAAATTTAAAAATAATGGTATTCAGGATTAGTATTTTTGAGGTAGGAAT